CAACATGATCTACTCGACCACCATTATAGTTACCGCCAAAAAAAAACAACAGAGGTAAAAAAAAAAAAATGGTAACCTGGTTGCTGAGTTCACGAAGTGAATTGGCTTGTTTTACAACGTCGTTGCCAAGCGACGAAAACCCATGGTAAACACCGGGGGAGGAGGGGGCGCCGCAAAAGAAACAACCCCCTCGCCGCACAACAAATATGCACTAACTACCGCGAGAGGGGGGTGGTTAGGACATGGGAGAGGGGGGGAGAGAGAGAGAGCTAGGAGCTGTGTGGGGTGTTTCTTATTTGAAACGCTCCGCCGTCAACCCTCGTTTCTTGTGTGGTAGGGTAGCGGTGCTACTGATTGCTACTGATTTCTTACTGAGAAGCTTTTTTGTATTGACCCCGATTAAGCTGTGTTTCTGAACCCTGTTTTCTTATTTATCGTGGAAATTCGAGGCTTTGTTTCTTAAAGAAAGTGTTTCTTTATCGCGGGCGCTAACTGTATTACTATTTAGTATAAGGCTGTTTCTTACAGAACCGGATTCTTGATCTGAAAAATCGATTTTTTCGGCCGGACAATAATCCGGCTGGGAAAAACGTACGACCCTTCTTACAGGAACCGGATTTTAGTCAGCGGATTTTTTGCTGGACTGTCATGTATTTTTGAAATGCAGCGCGCGCGCACGCGCGGGTAAAAAGTGCCAGCACGACATACACGCGCACAGCAGCAGACCTCACGCGGCAGACCACACAACCATTGCACAACATGCCCGATGGAGGTGCATCTGAGCAGCCTGAGGCGCTCTTGCTGAATTACAACCCATTGGCGAAGGCCGCTGTCGCACACTTTGGCGACTGCATCGAGGGCGGCATGACGAAGAAGCAGATAATGTTGCAGCTGCAGAGCGTTTGCGCCACCTACGCTTGCCAGGGAGTGAAGCGGAACGCTGGCTTGACAAACAAGAAGAGTAAACAGAAAGCTGCGACCCACGCTTACAAGACAATCGTGGTTCCCGGTTTTTTGGCTTGGCTGCGGGAGCTCGAAGGCTCTCCTGTACAGCTGCCTCGGTGGTTGACAGAGGAGCTGTTGGGCTGCAGCAACGTGAACGGGAGGGGAAGAGGTAAGCCATGGTACTACTACAGCAGCCTGGGTCCATGCTCCGTTAATGTGGGTCGAAGGAAAAAGGACGCAAGGCTTGTCACCCCCCACACCGCGCGCTCGCTCCTCTCTCTTTCATCTTGAACCCGGTACATGTCGCTTTCGTGCACGTGTCTGTTGTACCTGCTGTTCGGTTGAACGTCACACGCTCGCTCCTCTCTCTTTCATCGTGAACCCGGTACATGTCTCTTTCGTGCACGTGTCTGTTGTCTCTGCTGATCGGTTGAACGTTACGCATGTGCTGCAACAGCAGTGTGCAGCGCCTGTTGGGGTTAACCTTAGCCTGGATGTGTTTTGTGATAATCTCCCCGCGCAGCACCAAAGATAAAGAAAGAACGCGCATGAACGTACTCGTTTGAAATCTAAACAGCAGCGGGTCGAGATGGTAAAGCATGGCACTGCTGTTGTTGTGTTCAGACGGCGCATTTTATCCCGTAAACAGCTGGAAACTCGAGTCTCACACACGAAGTTTCCTCCCCTCGCCCCCAACCCGGTGTGCAGGCGAGCCGAAGTACTACAAGGACGACTCCAAGGTGTGGGCTAGGCACATGGAGGACTACCTGCTCATCAGGCGTGATGTGAACCCAGCTTTCGATGGGTGAGTTTTAAGATAGTGCGAAGGCCCCACGAATCACGTATTTTTCAGGAGCAAAGTTTGTGTTTTAAAATTATTTTATCGTTGGGGATTGAATGCGCCATACGTACCCTGTACTGGTAATTGTTTGCCCGCGTGTTATTTCTCCCAGGTGTTAAGCGGTGCACCACGCATACAGCAGTACGGCGCTGTTCACGCCCAATGTCACGTGAAGCAGACAGAGACGCGAACCTTGCCCGCAAAAGTGACCGCATGTTTTTCTTCGACATGGAGAGCGTGGGACTTCTTGCGTGATGCCGAACAAGTGCTTGCTTGCCCCGTGACGTCTCCCCCGTAATCCGCACATTCCTTTTCCTTCTCTTCTCGTGCGCACCATTCTTGCACCCCTTGGAAATTAGGCTCGAACCTGGACAACCAGCGGGACAGCTCAAGTCCGGGCAGCAGTACAACGACCAGCTCTCTGCACTCTTAGACGAGTTGTGGATCGTCCGCTGCAAGAATTTAGGGAAACCTAAAGATGTTGTCGACCTCGACGAAGAGCGCGATTACCTGCCGGCCCGCTCCTCGCAATCAAGCCCTGCTACCGTCAAGGAGGAGGACGGAGAGCCGGAGCTACCTTGCGGAGGAGGCTTGGAGGGAGAGGGCGCCGACGGCACGCAGGAGGGTGCCGCCGGCGAGCCTGCACCGGGGGAGACGTCGCCCGCGGAAGTGGAGGACACGAAGGATGGTTCATCAGAGGCGGGAGGCGGTGGTGCGGTGGGGGCGGGGAGTGGTGCGGTGGAGGCGGGGAGCGGTGGAGAGGCGGGGACGGGGAGCGACGATTCTTTGGGGCCCGAGCCAGAGGAAGGTTCGCCGGACTACCCGCGATGGCTCGCCCGACAGGGGGCCATCAACGCGAAACAAGCCGCTTCCGATGACGCGGTCAGCTCAAGTGGGGACGGCAACTTGGGATACGGGCCGAGGCCCGCGAACTGGACGCACCCGCTCACCCTAACGTTCTGCTTTTTCGGGAGGCCGGCTGGTGAACACGAAGACACGGAGCTCAACACGTGCGCAGCGAGCTCCGGGCCTCCGTCTCGCGGCAAGAAAAGGAAGGGGGGCAAGGGCAAGGCCAAAGGTCCCGCCAGCGAAGGTGGGGGCAGCGGCGAGGGATCCTCCGGCGAGGGATCCTTGACGGAGAATCCGTTGCACGCAGGCGCTGTGAGGCAGTTTGTGGGGGCCGGGGAAGCGCAGAGCCGAGCAAAGGTGAAGAAGGCTACACAGGAGGTAGAGCTGCGGCAGTCCCGTGATGCAGCGAGGGCTCAGTTTCTGCGGCAGAACACGGAGCAACTGGAAGTGGCGAAGGAGATGCGCGATGCGGTGAAGCGAGTAGCCGACAACACTACCGCTCAGCGCGCGCTGCAGGAAGAGGAGGCCTGCCGCAAGCGTAAGAAGCAGGCCATCGAAGACCTTGAGGGCGATCTACAATACTGCGAAAGCCACGAAGCTAAGGCCATCAAGCTGAAGATTCGGGCTATGCGCAAGATGCCCGTCGGCCAGTTCACCGCTGATTTCGTCTCAGGCGGCATCGACGACCTAGCGGGTCCCTCCGCTCCAGAGGTTACCTCGGACGTACCCGCCTTGCCGGGCTTCTCGCTCAACAGCGAGACACCGGGGCCTGAAGGTGGTGGGGCTACGGCACAGCATCCCCAGGGTTAGGCTTTCTCCGCGGGGAGGTCTACGGTGACAACTTGTTTAGAAAATTTAGCGCGAGAAGCCCGCTTTGTCGTGCGGGGAAACATCCCTGGCGGGCGTATCTGATTCGATGTTTTTTTCGTCGTGTGTTTCAGTTGGCGCTTGGAGGGATCACCCGTCCGTCGTCGGCCGTGTAGGACATGTAACTTTATTTGGCCGGAGCCAAGTTAGCTCTCACAATCATTCCTTTTGAAGTTGTTCGTGCGCAGAGTTTATGTTCGACTTCGGGAGTCAAGCTTGAGGGCGCACGACTATGCAAATGTGTTCTTGTGTGGCTTTCCGAGCTCCTTATGGTAAGCTGGCTAGTCCGGATACGCGGTCAATTGTAGGTGCCTCACCGTTTGGGTGGGGTCTACTTTTTTTCTCCGGGATGGTTTGTAGATTCAGATATTTTCTTGAAACACTTTTTTATTTTTTTCCGGCTTCATTGTTGTGCCGGCGCGAGGCCGAGATGCGCACGTATGTAGCGCCTACACGGATCCCAAATTTGAGCACGTCTAATGAGGGATCTCAACGTGCGTCTTTCACGCCTTCAGACTGGGCGTGGATGCCTGTGAACGCTAGGTTTATTCGTGATGTAGAGAGATTAGAGAGTAGAACGGTTCGTGGTGCTCGCCCCCGAGGTCCCACACATGACGTTTCTTCGGTCCTTGCTAAGTTGAAACCTCATACACCGACACAGCAAACTTCGTGTTTAAAGACGCGAAAAAAGATGTATCCAATCACGCCCCTGCGCACCGGAAGTTTCAGTTTAAAATTGCTTTGATGAAACTTCGAACACACCCGACATACTCATCATACTAACCAGAGCCGCGTATTGACAGGTCGTGACCCTTCATGCACCCCCACCACCCCCCACCCCCCACCCCCACCCCGAAGTCCAGGTTTGGACTCGAAAGAGCGGCCGCTTCGTGTACACGCCGATGACAACGTACACATGACACAGGCTGCGAATCCCTGCGTATCGCTACGTTTCAGTATTTGGTTCTGATGAAACTTCGAAACTGTGAATCCCTGCGTATCGCCACGTTTCAGTGTTTTGTTCTGATGAAACTTCGAAACTGTGAATCCCTACTTCGAAACTGTGAATCCCTGCGTATCGCTACGTTTCAGTTATGTGTTCTGGTGAAACTTCGAAAAAAAGTCCGCGCCCGTACACACAGCCGATGCTACGTGTTGCTGAAATTGGCTGCCCGCCACCCCCACCAATCTCCCGGCTGTGAGCTTGTATATACGTGCACGAACGCGTTGTTGCCGCAAAAATAACCGTCACAACGCTCGCACATGGTTACCCTAGAGTCAAACCTACGGCCAGAACAGCACCGCCTTCCTCCCCTACGACAGCCACACAATGTCCCTCTTCTTTTCCCTGCGGTACACGAAGTTCGTAACCAACTTAGACCGCAGCGCCCCGAAGCCCGTCTCCACCTCGACCGCCTCATGCTGACCGTCCATTGACCCGACCGAGCTGTAGTCCGTGTTGGGGTCGCGATCCGCGGCGTTGTGCAGGCCGGCGCTCCCAGCCCAGTTGGGCTCCTCGCTCATGTCCCCCCGGTTGTCGAAGCTGTGCAGCATGTTGTGGAGGATGCAGCAGGTGAAGAACACGTTGTCGATGTATTCCTGCTTGTGAAAGCCGATGGCCAGCTTGTTGATTCGAAAGCGCCCTTTGAGGATCCCGAAGTAGCATTCGACGTCCTTGCGAGCGCTCTCGAGCCTCTTCGAGAAGATGAGGTCGCCACGGTCGATCGGGCACTTGGAAGGGGGAATGAGAGTCCTCCACTGTCGGAAGGGAAGGGGTAGTTTGCGGGGAAGAGCGGGGGGGCGGGCGGGCGGGAGAGCAAGAGGGCAACGGGCAGAGGTAGAGGGGAAGAGAATTAAGCACGCGGTTAAGACCTCATAGTGTTCTCACGCCAAGGATTTCTCCAATACCGCGGACCTTTCTCTCCTTGTATTGGTGTTGTCAAGTGGTTGGTATTTTTCTTTACAAGAGAAGCCGCAATCTGCCAACGCCGCGCCGCAGAGGGCCTAGTTGACTGCTGTCGCGGAATCAAACATCACAAAAAATCGAACTTCCGGAGACGAACCCGTCTGGGCAAGTGTTTCTTTCTTTCCCCGGCGACGCACAGAAGGTTGCAGAAACTGTTCCGGCCGCTTACCAAGAACAAAAAAAAATGCAAAAAGCGCCGCTGGCAACTACCAGGAAAATAGGAAAAAGATGGTAGATACTAGATACGTACACGTACGAGACGGCGGTACGCATTGACACACACTCAACACGCACACACACACAGCGCGCACACACACACGACACACACTCGGGGCTCTCTCCTCGTCGAAGATTCACCTTGTGGTACCCATTGTCCACCAGCAGATAGCACCCCTTTTCCTCGAACTGCTGTCCATCCTGCGCGTACAGCTTGTACTTCTGCTCCGTATACACAGGATCCGTCCGGATGCGCGTCACCGCCTTGTCGTAGCGGATGATGGTCTTGTCGTTCGTCGCCCCCGTAAACCCTCGGGTCACCGCCAGAACGCGCCCGCTATGGTCCACCGTAACTTGAAAAGCGACGGTAGGCTTCCCCTCTTTGCCCGTATAAATGCGGGCTTGGTTGTAGGGGCACATGCCCCAGTAGATGTGGGTGACGTCCGTGGACCCGACGGCTCCGGGGAAACCTATGCGATCGTACTGCTCCATGACTTTCCTCAGGTCCTCCCCAGTCGGCAGGTAGACATATTCGTCGTACAGCTCCGCCGCGAAGTACTTGCAGAAGCGGTGGAAGGTGGACGCCACCGTCTGAAAGCTGATGAAGGACATGTGGTAGATATCTGCGAACACATTTCCTCTGCTGAGTATCTGCAGACAGGCCAGCACCTGCGTATGCGGCGGAGGAAAGCAACAACGCGCGGATAAATCCGTTGCTTTTTCGTGAGGAACAGCGTTCTTAGCTTTGAACTCAGGAAATATACTCAGGCCGCGGGTCCCCTGCGGAAAATTGAAAATATGAGTGGCGTACGCGCGCGCCGCAGTCACCCCTGCGCTCGCGACAGGGGCAGCTGCAGCAGCTACGCTGAGTGTTAGCTTGTTTTTTTGTTTCTTGGTGGCTGCCTCAACGTTCAACATTTTGAAAACTGTACGCCATCGGCCGGCCTCTATCATGGAGCATGTAGGTCGCAATTGATTTTTTCCAACCTCTACAACAACCCCGGGGCTGTGCTGGTTTGTCACACACTCGGCAGTTGACCATTCGAGAGTTTAACACGCTTGACCACGACACTGCTGTGGCTTGCGCGCGGCGTGTTTCTCTCTACGTTTGCATTGTTGGCTTGTGAGCACATGGTGGCTGGTGACAGTAAACTGACCCGCGTGCAAAACAACCCCTGGCTTCGCCCTAGCGGTTGCCAACGTTTTGTTTTGTTTTCGACTGCTGTACATGTTGTACCACCCTACTGCCGACCAGCGCCGGCAACAAGGGAGAGGACTCCCACTGCTGCTGTGGTCGGGTCTTCTAAACCAACTTTAGACGAAAGTGTGGAGAGGAACGAAGTATACATGCGCACCACACGCGGCCGCTGTAGATGATGAATGCTGGAGAAAAGGGGTGTACAGCACAGCAGCAACCACCCTCTACGTTGTACACCTTATGTATTCGAAACCAGCGCCGACCGTGGTGCGGCCGGCGCTCTATGCGACGGCGGACCATTTCAAAACATGAGGTTTTTTTTCATCCGGCTACAAGGGAGGGACTCAACCTTTTAAATGAACTTAAGACTAGGCACGAAGTGTGCAGAACAACGAAGAATGCATGCGCACCACCCAATGTACTGGGGTAGAGGCGGACAAGGGATATAGAGCAGATCGCAGCCACAGCCCTTATCGGTGTACACCTTTCAAACGCATGCTGTGCCGCCGCCGGCACTCCGGTGCCAGCGGTCCATTTTTCGAGAAGTGCAGCATTTCATCGTCTTTGCTCACCTTCAACTCAACAGGGACGGCTTGGCGACCCGTGACATCCGACTCCCCGGTTGGGAACCAGTCTCTGTCCCTCACCAGCTCCACCAAGTGCACGAAAAACGGGTAGGGGACGCGGAAGTTGTTGCGAAAACGCCGCGCTTCCCGGGTCGTGTGATCTGTCTCGCCTGTCTCTCGCAGCTCCATGAGCTCCTGCCACCATCCCGACTTCGTGTAGTCTTTACGAACGTACACACGCCGCCTCTTCACCTCCCTCGACGCTTCATCGTCCTCTGTATCCAGCTCTAGATCGTCTTCGAAGTCTTCCATGATAACGTCCCAGACGGCGACGCTACGTTGCAGCTGCTGCAGGGAGGCAGTAGCTACCGCCGTGGTGGCGAAGGCAGCCGGCACATCGATACCACCACTTTCGGTTGCTGTCTCGGCCATTTGGCGGTGAACCACACGTCCCGCGGGCAATACAAGTGCACAGCCGAGGCGGGCGACGCCCAGCAGCCCTAAGAGCGCCGGCACTGCGACACGCATCTGCGGTAGCCGCTGTATTGTGCTGTGCTGTGCTGTGTGTGTGCGTGTGTGTGTGAGCCGGGCGGCGTAACCAGCGTTTGAATTGAATTTTTCGGGTGAGAAAATCCGGTTGGGCTTTCACCCGGATTCTGCATCAGAATCCGGGTGAAAGTCGACCGGATTTCTGAAACTGGAAAATGTTGACCCGAAAAACTAAAGAATCCGGGTCTATAAGAATCCCGATTTTGGCCATATCGGGATTTTGAGGTTTTTCAGGTCAAGAATCCGGCTCTATAAGAAACAGCCTAACAGTGCATAAACCTCGGTCTTATTTTGCGTGGCCTTCTGCACTTTAACGGACCACGTAGTAGATATACCTCGTTGGGTGGGTGAAACAAATGCACCCATTCAAATACCTTTCCCGAACCTCGCGCAACCGTGACGTGATACAGAGACCTTAATACTGTTGTCGCCTACATACAAATGCGTCGCATGCGCTTCTCCAATAGCGGTCCCGGTAGCCTTCGCAGGCGTTTTCGACTAAGAGAACATGTTGGTTAAATCATACCATCGGGGAAGTTGGGTTTCTTCCTTGTTCGATTACCTCAACTTAGTTCGAAGTTTTATCTCGCAATGGCAGTCGTCCAATAGCTGGGGTGGTTACCTGGCTACCGCGAGAGAGTTCACCGCTCGTTGGTTGTGTTCAGTGCGGTGCACACCGTGTCTGTGTCAGGACGTCGTTTGACGTGCTATATGCATCACCAAGCGCTTACCGCGCAAACCCATCTGTAATGCATGCCATATACCTCCAACATGATACCAAGCTGGGTAGTCGCTCATCAACATTTCAATTAACAGCAATACGTCTGACGAAGCTTAGCACTACCCTTGTGTCGTGCATGTAGCGATGTGTTAAACCGTTGCCTTCCGCCTGTCAAAGCTCAGCTCTTGCAGTAAGTCGAAACCGTTTTAGCCCCCCTTCACCTTGTGGGTGCCAATGTTCCAGCTCACAACAGCTGTAAAGACGGCCCGTGGTGGATATTTACTCCGTTCATTCATGTTTCTTAAAGCTTGATACGCTACCCTGGGCTAAGGACCATCCCCCCAACTCCCATCTTGTAGAACCCCCGCACAGCGAGAGCAAAGGGAGAGGTCCACGCTTATGCTTCTCGATGGACCATCATCACAATTTACCACTAACACCACGAATTATTCCGCTTTGTAGTTTGGCTTCCGCATACCTTTTGGAGAAACTAAGAGGAGATTCGGTCAACACCCTGACCTTCCATCCACAACGGTAGCTGTGTATTATTCTTACTAGTTTTAGACTAGCGTTTCATTGATATTGGGTGTCTATGCAAATTAGTACAGATGAAGCGCTGGCCTCTGAGGGCGAGATTCGTCTCTGTATTAACCCGGCAACTGAGAGACAGTGTGTGTAAGATAAAGTGACACCAGACCATTAGACTAGTCAGCGCTGACTAGTCTATTGGTGTAACTTTATCTTACAAAAGATATACGCTCAGCTCATAAGCACCCGGCGGGATTACTTGGGTTTATGGCTTTTTGAGAGCAGGGATCTCCGGGGACAGACCCCTCGCCAGACGCTGCCTGAAAAGAACTTAATGGTATTTGGGAAAGTGAGTAGCCGGGACTCGAGCCCGTGCTTGGAACTTGTATCGCCAATCGTTACACCATTAGTCCAGTCATTATCTTACAGCGCGTATAGCACGAAACTGAGCAGAGCCTGCCTCCACTAGCAAGATTTCACCACACGCCCCGGCTCTTGCTTTGCCTCAATCACACCGTCGAAGGCACAAGAATCTGGAAAACACGTAAGATGCGCATTAGAAATCGGCGGTCTTTGTTCCTCTCATCTATGTCTCGTACGGCCAGCATGTACAGATTTCGATCAGGATTTGTTTCTTTCTTTGTCTTCACTTCAAATCAGCGCCAACAGTACTGCTACCGTTTTCTCCAACCCGTGGTCACACAGAAGAGCCTCTCTCAACCCTCCCCTCCTGGGGTACTTTGCCTTCGATTTTTAATGCGAGAAGAGTCCAGCACTCTCTTCCCTCCTCTGTGTACACACGAACTAGCGCTATCCACTAGGCCAGGAGCGGAAGCGAGAGAAAAACTCACTTTGTAAGAAAAGCTCGCTTACGCCGGGATTCGAACCCCTGACCTGACCTCTAGAAGGTGTCGAGGAAACCATCTAGACCACCGGGGCGACCGGCAGTATGGGCCCGTACAAGTTGTCCAGATTTAGGTACGACTCGCTCCTCAATAGTGGATCCTGCACGACACTTTGCTGCTTTATTGGCCGTAGGTGACATGAGGCACCACACCCCCTTGACCGATTTTCAAATCTCGAATTCTCCACGAAGATGATGACAATATGAAATGACGGGTGTCTCGGGAAGCTCTCGACAAGACGGCCCCATCGTTGCCATTTTAACCACCGCCACTCTTTCTGTTGTAGGGAAATCGAGCTTTGAAAATCGGTCTAGAGCGTACCAGGTATGAACACCTGTGCTCGACATTGCCAACCAAATAAGGACTGAGCAGGACCCCGACATCGTTGTCGCTTATTTTGCTTGCCCGTTCTGCACTCTCACCCCCACGAAAATAATAGGTTCGTCCATTTTTGAAATAGTACGTACTCTTCCTCCGATCTGAGCGGCGACTAGACTACATGCAAACCTACTCACATGCTATAGCGTTTCCCGTGCCTCTTGTTACCCACTCACATGCTATAAACAAGGTTTTCGTGTGATTGAGAGCGAAGTTTCTGATTGAGAGCGAGATTNGTTGTGTCTGTCTCTTATACACATCTAGATGTGTATAAGAGATCGCCCTGAAACAGTTTGAGGCAGGAATAGCCAATCTGGGGAAATCTAGCAACTTGTCTAGCTCCTAGCTGCAGCATCCGATCGCGATGACACGCATATGCTCGTGACGCTGCTGATGAGACCTTCAATTTGCGCCGCTTCTTGGAAGAACCCGCCCCCTACTTCCCAAGAAATGGTAAGAGGCGTCTGAACCCGAAATTTCAATTTTTTGGCTCCCGCTCTCAATCGTATACTCCGCTCTCAATCAGGCGAAAACCCTGTTTATAGCGTTTCCCGTGCCTCTTGTTCCCGTGCAGCGAAATTGTTGAAATTGTTGTGCTTCGCTCCAGAGGGCATTGCATGGCAGCCAAGCCCAGGGTATCGATTTTTGGACAGAAGCCTCTCTATACCACCCCCCCGCGTTCTGTCCTTGAGCTAGTTTTCACAGCTGACCCCCCCAACTGATCGATGTGCGTCGATGGGAATCTTCATGAAACAGTTATCAGAGCACAGCTGTTTGGACCAATCCTGATATTGGAACGCGAGGGGGAGTTCCCCGCTCGGAATAATGGCTGGTCCCAGCTTTTGACGGTATGCCTGCACACCGAAAACGTTCAGGGTACGCCTCGCTACCGTCTTTTTAGGCGGATAAATGCAGCGCGGTACTTCAATTTGGCAGTACTTTTTTCGGCGGCTCCCGGTACTTGGTTCATCGGCGCTACCGCCTTTGGTGGGTCCCAGTATTGACACTAATGGTGGAAGTTTTTCGTCAGTTATCAATTCTGACGGCACCGCCTTCAGATGTTCCCGGTACCACCGAAATGAGGCTGTAATTACCGCCAGTACCGGGACCCCCCACTACGGCAGGAAACAAAACCCGTCAATTTTTCCGGGGTGCACGCTGAAACATTGCCACCGGTGATGCTGCACTATTTGGTAGTGGTATTGGAATGGAACAAGCTTCATCAGAGAGAGGAAAGCGTATGCAACTATTGCAGACAGATCATGCTCAGCATTCCAACGCTCTATGTCGTATCATTTTCCCGTTATTAGTACAAGCTGGTCCGGCCAAGACAGCTGGGACTCGCCAATACGGCCACGCGCCGCTGAGTTTTTTTAGTTAGAGCCTCAATTTTCGAGACGTGATTTGGAATGTTCTCCCCAAGACGCCACCGGAAACCCTAAGCATTTTGTAGTTTTCCTGAGATACGGCCAACTTCCACTTTTCCACGAATACAAACACGGGCGAAAGTCGGCAAAAAAAAAACGCTTAGGTTTTCCGGTGGTGTCTTGATGAGATTGTTCCTAATAACGTCTCAAAATTTTAGGTTCTAACTCGAAAAACCTAGCCGCGCGTGGCCGATTTTCAAAATTGCCTTCGTGAGAGGAAAATGGGCGAAATACGTGTGTGTGACGATCCAACAACCCCGGAGGAAACTTTTGAAGTGGAAGAAAGGCAGATTGTGACAGAGATTGACACCTCGCGACATGCAACAGGTGTTGAAGCATATGATACGCATTTTGTTGACTTGCGCCGTTGACGAAGAGTTCGACTAAAGAGCCTGAGCAATGCGCATTTTTATTGCTCTCGTGATGGAAATTTTCATGGGGGGTTGAGTGCTTCAGGATTTTGCCATGTTGCGAAGGCTTAAGAATCATAACCCGCGGCATTCCATCGCCTGCGCCTTTGTATAACACTGTACAGTGCGTCGCACCGTGTGTCAAAAAGAAACTCCAGAGTACAGGCACCTGTACAATTGTATGCATATCAAGTAACCTTCTTAGGCACAGAACCACATCATGGTTGTTGCATCGTGGAGCACTTGACAACAACCAACAATACGCCGTCAGTTCCCAAACACAAGTAACGCCACAAATATCGACAGAACGAAAACTACTTGAGAAACTTGTGCTGCCGCTAAGATCAAGACCGGCTGCATTCTTCTCCCGCCGCAACCCCCACCCATGCACGAGATAACGCCAACACCCGGCCACAGAAATTCTACTGCTTGTCAATAAAGCCAGGTTCCATGTCAATGATGTTGCGGTGCGCTTTGCAGGACTTGCGCATCTGCTCGATGCGATCCTTGGGCTCGACCCCCTTAAGCATCCTTCTTGAGCTTGAAGTATGCCCAGCAGTAGTCTCGCGTGCGACGTGCCAAGCGGCGAACCCGCGGTAGCGTAAGGATCGTTTCCCTGTTCATGGATGTCAAGATGTTGTTGTGCAGGTTCTTCGGAATCTCATGGTTGAGCTCCCGCTGAAACTTGAGCTTCGACATTCCCCACGAATATTCGATTCCCACGCCTGCAACTTCTGGGTGAAACTTGGGGGACAGCACCAGAGTGTGCCCTCGTGCCTCCACAGTGTGCTGCAGCACCGTGCGCTCGTTGCAGTAATCCGGGAGGCTACCCAGAACGAACCCGAGGTTCATTTTGGGATCCTTCGTCGTGATTGACATCTTGTCAATGTACCA